GGAGAAAGAAAGGGGACGGGGGAGGGGGGAGGAAACAAGACCGCAAGCATTCAGCGGATCAGTCTGCGTCCGGACTGCACGAAGTGCATTTAAAAAATCGGTTTTAAGTTAATGCACCCGCAAGATGTAGCATATCTGCGAAGGCATTGGAGAGAGGGGGAGGGGAGGGGCCGGGAGGCTTTAAATGGGCTTTTTGGTGGTTGCTTGTTTAAATAAAATATAGAACGAGACTTGTCATTTAATCCCTCAAAAGGGATGCCTTACAAATATCGATGCCGTTGGAAAATGCGAGGGGTTTAATTTTCTTGCTTTTAGTCCAAACAAAGCTCTGGTGGTGTCTGCGCGCGATCAATCTTGGCCGCCAAAAGGTTTGACAGCTACTGGCCCTTAAGAACACATTTAAAGCTTCTTGCTCTTTCCAAGATCAAATGTGGCCGAGCCGAGAGGCAGAGCAAGAAACGCAAGTAAACAAGGAAAAAAAGCTGCTTTTAAAATATGCTGGCAGAGGACTGGGCTGCTTGTGGGAAAAGTCCAGTTTTATTTTGCTTCTCAGTGCCTACCTTGGGGTCGGGCTTTTCTTTTTCTTTAATTTTTTTTTCCCCCACTCTGGAAAATATTGGGATTAACAGCAGGATGACAAATAATAAAGAGAGAGGTTTGGACTTTAACCAGGCTTTGTGAGTAAAACCTGTGTGGGTGTCTCTTATTCTGCACATTTGTTTCTTGTGGTCGGTCTAATACAAAAACCACCTGGAACAAAACCTTTGGAGAGGGGAAGCGAAATTCTTGGGCAAATCAATTACTTCTGCCTCCAGAGGGATGTTTTAAACGGGCGAATCTTAAATGCAAAAATACAAATTCTTCTTTGCAACCTACAGGCTCCGGAGAAGGGGTTGCGTACGGTTTCCGGAAAGAAGGGGGCAAAATCGCCTGTATTTTTCTTCCTTCTGGCTGGGAGGGCTGGGGGTGGTGGTGAAACGCCAAATTCCTTCGCTTCGAACATTTTCCTAAATATAATTCGCGGTGCTAAAGGAGCCACACAGTCAGAACCGCCGAGCGCACCGTTACCTTTTGTTGTATCTACCCTAACTGGTCCGAGGGGTGGGCGCCGGCTGGAATTTTCTGCGGGCGCTCATTTGAAACGAGCAAGGTCTTGCAACGTTGCAAAAACCGCTTCCTTCGCCTACAAAATAATAATCAGTCGTCGGTCTGTATTGGGTAATAATCAGGTTTCAATGAAAAATACCAGACTATATAACCTTTCCTTCCGCTGTTACACACCTATATACACAATGAACAGCACGGTATAAATATACTTGCAAACACTTTCTTTGACTGAGCATGCTTTATCTGCTCATGCATAAAAGCTCTATTCAGATTCGTGGATGCACGACAAGGTTTCACCATCAGGCAAGGATGGTTCTGGGAACAAGATAAAGCCCAAATAATAATAATATTTCAGCATGAGACCAAAATGGCGACATTTTTTGCTGTGCTCTAGAAGATACAGATGGTGAACAGCGTGCGTTATTATCCACACAGCATAGGAATATGTCTTTATAAACGTGCAGGGGTATATTTTACCTAGTCTGTTAAGGTCCATTTTGATTTATCTTTCGAGTTTCAATCTAAAAATTAGGGACATTTCGCCTGAAAGGAAGAAAAATCGGATTTAACCACACGCGTGCGGGTTTCCGCCTTCCACCT